TTGTCATCTTTTTGGCTATTCCGACTCGGACTTTGCCGGTTGTAGATTAGACCGTAAGAGTACGAGTGGGACTTGTCACTTGCTTGGTAGCTCTTTAGTCTCATGGTTTAGTAAGAAGCAAGTCAGTGTTGCGTTATCCACAATCGAAAAGGAATATGTTGCCACCGGTAGTTGTTGTGCTCAAATCCTGTGGATGAAGCAACAACTTGTGGATTATGGCCTTAGAATCGATCACGTCCCTCTTCGATGTGATAATACTAGGGCCATAAGCTTGACGAAGAATCCGGTTCTTCACTCAAGGATGAAACATATTGAAATTAGGCATCATTTCATTAGAGATCATGTTCTCAAAGGTGATGTCGAAATTGAGTTCATTGAAACACACAACCAATTAGCCGACATTTTCACAAAACCTTTAGAGAAAGAGTCGTTCTTCTTCATTCGTAGTGAACTCGGAATCCTTGACTCCACGATGATCTAAGTTGTGCATTAATTATCATTTTTGATCCTTACTAACTTGAACGTCGGAGACGTTTTTTAATTCTTCTTTGCAGGACTCTTCTTTTAATTTTTTTTTCAGGTGTCAAAGTCAGGGGAACAAAGTAAATCGATTATTTTTCAGACTTGGTGTAAATCAATTTACACGCTTGTGATAATCGACGATCACAGCCCGCGGAAGTTTGGAGCAAAGAAACTGAAGGAGCCAACAATCGATTATCAACATTAGGATAATCGACTATCACTGACCGCAGAAGTTGGAAGCAAATCAGGCGCAAATCAGCGACAATCGATTATACGTATGGTGTAAATCGATTATTGCATCCTGCAGTTTCTTTGGTAGAGAATCTGAAGACTTAGATAATCGATTTACAGGGAGTGTAAATCGATTTACAACGGTGTTTTTTCAAAAATCTGACCGTTGCAGAGACGTTGGAGGAGCATTTGACAGTTGTAGGTTTTCGGGTAGTAAACCTTCCAAGTAAAGGGTTAGTTTTCTCTCCGAGTGTCGTATATCTCGAGGAGTGGACGAAGGGAATTAGTTTAATTACTCTAATTAGGAGAGGATTAGGATTGGTTTTTGAAAGTCTTCTCGAAACGATTATGAAAGGAGCAGAGTAAAAATAATAAATTAAGTTTACACAGTATAAGTATAGATCTGGGCCTAGGGTCTGGACATCATTTGGATCTATTTTATCATATTAAATTAACAATTGGAATAATAATAATATTTCTATTACTACTCATCCATTTCTAGATTTGTACTTAATCCGTTGTACTTGAATATCGTAGCCTTTTGGCATACAATATTTTCTCAATAAATGGCCAATTAAATCTTTCGAGTTTAATTAACCAAATAAGGCAAGAACAATAGATTAACCATTCCAACATTAATTTAACATCAAAAAAATAAACAACCAAACTAGTTCGGACCCAGAAATCTGGACCCTAACTCATACTATGCAAACATAAATTAAAATAGCATTTTATTAAATAAAGAAAACTTCCAACCTCCGTAAAAGCGGAACAAAACAGATCGGGAGTCAAATCCTCCGGAAAATACTTAAAAATAATAACTAAACTAATCTACAATGAAATATTGAGCAATTTGAAGGGGAACCCCGAAATGGGTTGTGAGATGGTGAAGAATGAGTGAGGATGCCGTTGTATTTATAAGGCAGGGTACGCGGGCGTCCAACCCTCTGGGTGTCCAACTTTGGACGCCCGTCCCCTGACCACGTGTTCCGTCCATTCCTACTACGCCGCGTGTCATTTGCGTGTCACCAGCTTTGCTTGGGCGTCCAACTACCCCCGGGCGTCCAACTTTGGATGCCCAGGACCCGAATTCAGCGCCCAATTCGCGAAAATTCGAGATCTTGGCCAATTTTTGTTCTGTTTTGGTCCGTTTGACTCCCGAACACTGATTTCTACCTCCGAAGTATCATGATCTTTAAAATCTGAAACTTTTTATCCAATTTATACATAAAATTGACAAATTCACTTAATTTAATTTGGAACCCATATTTTATTCTTCTTGAGACAAAACATCAGTTTTGTCACTAGTAGACACTTTTAATGGGTAAATTTATTACTATTTTCGTGCAATAACGCTTAAAATATGTAGAATAAAATAAGAACAAAATGAACTTATCAAATTCCTCACACTTAAACGTTGCTTGCCCTCAAGCAACAAATTGAATAAATTATGTATGAAAACAAATTAGCAATCAGAGAAGAAATGTTTAAGTTACACAACTTGTAGGGAAAGAAGGATAAGATGGTCATCAACGTTTTTATGTGAACAAATAAATTTATAGTTTCTCACCCATATTACTAGAAATTTGAAAATATTTTGTCAAACTAATATTTTTACCTAATTAAATCAAACTAAACTCTAAATTTTCATTGGGATAATCATATTTCTAAGGATTATTTTAAAATCAAAAAGTGTTTAAAAGCTCTAATAAAAATGGATTTCCAAAAAGGTTTTAGTCAAACAATATGGGCCTATTTATATTTTTTTAGCATTATTTATCACGAATGAATCTCGGAATTACCAAGGCTTTTTGCATTACTGAGATTGAGGATTTATTCTATGACAAATGCATACTTGCTCCCTCACCTTATGCGATTAGCGGGAGAAGCAGAGCCCCTTTACGGAGATAGAATTTCCAATTCGTCACTTAAGCGCAATCCCAATAAAATTTAAACCATTAGAATTTTTTTATATAGACCCTTGTATTTAGAAGAAACCTTTATGAGAAATGACATTTTTAAAGAAGCTAATTAAAAATTGATTGATCTTAAAAAAACTTAGAAAATACTAATGTATCTCAAATGATTTTAGAAATTGTTTGAAAAAAATTAGGGAAAAGAATAAAAGTTGACAAAAAATTTAAAAATTTCCACTTTTTATGGGTGATAACTAAAAACTTAATTATTTAAACAAAAGAGTTGATGACCATACTTATAAAATCTTTACCCACAATTATGCAAAGCAAACAATTCTAACCCGGGATATTTCAACCAATAATTAACATCCTCCTCACACTTGAACGGAACCGCGCCCTCGCGGCAAAAAAAGTGTTTTAGAGTAGAATTTTTGGCTGAAATATCAAGGATATGATGACTAAGATGATTGCATATTAACATATTCAAAATGATGATTGAAATAGTAAATAAGCATAACCATAAAAGTTTACCAGAAGAAGTCAAACAGGAATCCAAATAAACCAGTCAAGTCATCAATTCCGGCTCAAATAAGATAAAAAGTTCTGGAGAAAGTAGGAGATCACTGCGGAGGCCGGGATGTGGAGGGATCATCGTCTCTGGGCTGCTGCTGATGCAGAGGGAGGTTTGTCGGGTTTTCAAAACCCAATGCCTCACGTATCCTGTCTAAACCATGGACCTGCTGTTGGAGTGCCGCAACGGACTGCATAAGTGTGTTCTGGTTCTGCAAGAGCTGTTGGGCCCATGCCGGTGCTACCTCTGTCTGAGCGCGAGCCAACTGTGCTATGGTAGGTCGTCGACGAGGAAGGCGCTGAGACAATCTCTGTGATTGATCGGAGGACTCTCCAATCTAATGTGAAGTGCGGCCAGTAGAGGCTGTAGTGCTCTCAGAAGAGCTAGGAAACAGTCTCCGGTGGATGTGAGCATTCTGGAGCATGCCGGCATCTAAATCCCTCATCAACTGCACAGGCCGTGGGATCGGTGTGTTCCCTTTGAGAGAGCGAAAGAGCAGTGTAATCACGAACCCACACACCAAGTGCGTCCTACACCCATAGGACTGGGAGTATAAGAATCTGGCCAGGTACACCGCCACGTTCGCCGGCTGGCGGTCGTGCAAGCTCCAGAAGACAAACATATCCTCCTCGTACACCCTATCAGTGTTCGACGGCCTCCCAAAGAAGGATGTCGAAAGAACAAAAGATAGGATCCTCCAGCTGGGCCGAATCCAGTAGCGCGCCTTACTCTTCTTGTTCACGAACTCCTTGTCGTCAGATGAGTGCTCCCTCCAGAAAGCTATAGCATCAAAATCTGTGGGAAGACAAAAGGGATCGTCGTAGAACTCATGCTGCTCGGTCTCCTCCTGGGTGTAGAGCCCGAGACGAACAACCATCTCTCTTACTGTCAACCGAAACGACTGGCCCGCAAGAGTGAAGGCAAATGTGGTATCAGCAGTGATCAAACTATGAGTCATCTGTCGTGACTCAATCTCCGGGACAGCAGATATCGAGCATAAGAACTCGATGGTCAGTGGTAGGCTAGACTCTGCCCACAGCTAAAGCAGGCGCTGCCATCTGGTCCCCTCAAGCAGCTCCTCCATCTCCTCTACATATCCATAGTCCGTCAGTGTGTCCTGAGCTAGACACACAGACTCGTGTAACACGCGTTAGTGTCCCCACTCATCGAACCTCGTCCTAGAAGCAGCATCAATCAGTTGGACCTCATTACGGTCCACAGTACGGTAAGAAGGACGATGAGGCATCTGCACACACATAAACAAACACATAAAATCTTGCCCCCAAAACTGGTGCGGCAAGTGGAAACTCAAAAATAACAAATAAAATTATTGAATTTATTTAAATATTTTAGTTATTTGAATGACGGGTTGCCTCCCGTTAAGCGCTTCTTTAACGTCCGTAGCTTGACGCTCACCCACTTTTTCCGAGACTTTCTGATCCGAGAGTCATAAAGTTTGGCCCTTCTGACTCTCTTCTGGTGCCACCTTGTTTGATTTGTTGCTCGGTCAAGGTCTAGGATCCTTGACTCATTCCTGTGGCTTGGTGGCAACAGGATATGTGGAGGAGACTTTGTATAAGTGGGTGGTGGTGGAAGTCTCCTAAGTTGATCCACATCATTTGCCTTCAAAGCAAGATTGATTTCTTGTAACGCCCCGAAAATAGGCCTATCAGAATTAATTGATAATTAATTAATTACTGAGAAGGACCCAAAAATAAGTAAATTCTAATGTTTGTCAATAATTGATAAAAATTATATCATTATGTAGAGTTTGACTGTCTGACTCCAACGGTTCAATCGGATTTCAATTCGGAGAAAGTTGGACCAAAAAGTGTTCCCGACTGGGACCAATTTAGTCCCAATCAGGGACTTACGTTTAGAATCGGAGAAGATAGCAGCCCACTCCTCTTCCCAAATAGAGGTCATCACCGTGTCTGCTTCCTCTTCCCTAAGGCTATATAAGGACCACCTTTTCCTACCCAATTCTTCACCATTTCTTCCCAAATCACTTCTGAGAGTTAGCTTTGAGTGTGTAGAACGCAGTGGTGCTGTCATCTTTGTGTGAGGTCGCCGGAGCAGTGAGATAGAGTCGCCGGAAGTTTCGCTGGAAAATCATCAAAACCTTCCTTATGCTTCAAAGTAAGCCTGTTGCATTGATATATCTAATGATTAGAATGTTCGTATAGATCGTTTCTACCTTCATAAATGGTCATTTGGTTGAGTTTTGTGTTTGACATGTTCGAAGAACCAAGAATCATAAACCTTGAATTTGTTTTTAAAACTTCGAATTGATGCCTCTAAAATGATCTACGAACCCTGGAGAACATTTCTATATAGTTTAATTGAAGTTTGGTGAACTAAAAATGAAATTTCCGAAACCAGTCCCGAGGAAGAAGACGATGAACAGTGTACGGTAGACCCCTACTGCCGGTACAGTAGATAGGTACCGACCAAACGGTACCCACCTACCGCCGGAACGGTAGGATACTACCGTCTCCATCTGAGTTTCGCTGACGATACCTGCCAATCAACGGTACCCCTCTACCGCCGGCACGGTACCGAGGTTCAGTGAGCCAGTACCGAGGTACCGTGAAGGGTACCGTCTGATCCAATTATTTTTCCAGAAAATCCGAATTATGAACCACAAAATCCTATTTTTAATACCAATTGATTATGATTATTATAAAAATGATTCACCACAATAAAAATGATGTTTTTGACAAATAAAATGTTATGTGATGCATGACGGTAAGTTCGGGTGTTAACACTCGAAGCTAGGCCGCTATTTGCTATCGAATGTTATGTTGATGATTATGATGAATGATTATTATGATGATTATGGCTTGTGGAAACCACTGATTAAAATGATTGTCAAGGATTAAATTATGAATTGGAATGAATATGTTGATGATTATGAAATGATTTGGATTGTAAGGATATCTAGAAGAACTTTAAGATATACCTAGGTTGACTTTGGATTCTAAAACTATCTAGAAGACCTCTAAGATAGTTTAGAAATAGGCCTTGCGAGTATAAAAATGTATATTCGGTGTCCTTGGGTAAAAACGTACGTACGGGATCCATAAACCAAACTAGAGGAACTCGTTTGGGGATACCACCCAACCCGATAGTTAGTATTCTACTGTTCGGTTTCCTGGATTTGTAACTTAAGCGAAGGCTAGTTTAAGAGTTGGTAAATTAATCGGAATATGTACCTTAAACTAATGACCTAGCTTAAGAGTTGGTTAGAAGTACATTGAACTAGTAATAGTTTAAGAGTTGGTAATCATCAAAGGATTGGCCTTAGACTAAGCTTAGTTAAGGATATTGTTGAATATTGAATATGAATGTTGAATATTGAAATATTAAAAATATCATGAATGAATTATATATTGTGTGCATGATATCAAATGGTTGTTTGTGAATTGAGATTCAATTTATGTGGATGTTCGACGCTTTAGATATGCTTACTCAGCTTCATCGCTGAGCGTGTAGTATGTTCTATTTGCTACACACAGGTAGACAGAATGAATGATTGGCATGTTCCTGGCAGCAGAAGGGGCGAGATTGTCGTGGTGGAATTTTGTGATTTTAAAATAAATAATTGTGTTGTTATTAAACATGGTTTAAATTGCTTCTGCGTTATTGTTAAATATTCCGTATTTTGCTACAGTTATGTATTAAACAATATTTATGATGAATAAAACTATTTAAAATGTTTTAAATTTTACGATTACCAAGTTAATACTTTAGTCGGAAAGGGGCTGCAGACCTGGATGGATTAGGGTGTTACATTTCTTCCTTGTCTTCAATGGGCTGACCATCCAATTTTGGTTTGACGATTACAACCATGCTTTCCCTCATGGATGAGTCCTCATTATCACTCACCAAAAGTTCATCCCAACTCCTTAAGCTCCAACCATCGTTCGGGCAGACATAGTCACACCCGTCAAGTAGGGAGTCAAAGAAAGTATGGTCTGAATCTTCAGATGAAGTATTATGTACACAGGTTTCTATAAGCGGGGTTGGATTTTCCATGCAAAGTGTTTCCTCGTCTATAGATTCCTTTTCGGACACTTGGACATTGGTATCTTGGGGGCAGGTAATGGGCTCCATTTCCTCTAGAACAGGTTCCTCTAGAGAGTGTCTTCAACACAATTAAGAAGATGGTCGTTTATTGCCATAGGCAAAACTTCCTCCTCCTTCTTTTCTTGAACAAGCATAGGTGGTTCTGAGTCAGGTTCCTCAGTTGGTTCCACCTCATGTACGACTGTGCCGATTGAGACTTGGCTTGGAGGGTATTCGGGTAACATCACCACAGTAGCCCTAGCAAACTGGCACCTTATGGTTGGATGATTCAGGGTTGGCTTTAGGTTCTAGAGCCTCTTTTTGAGCATTAACTTCCTCCCATTGTGGATCTTGATATTGGAGGGAGCATTTAAGCTCAATAGCCTTACAGAGATCATTGACTAATTTATCAGCTTTAGCCTCAGCTTCTAGTCTCTCTCTTTGAAAGTCGTCCAGCATTTTCTGCATCATATCTGATCCTTCGCATAATCTCCTTTCGAACTCCTTTTCCTTCCGGACTGATTCAAGAAGTTTTGCTCTTTCTCGAATTGTGTTAGAATAATAGACCAACGCTAGAGGGGGGGTGAATAGCGTTTGATCAAAAATCGCAGGAATAAAAGATGAATAAATGGGAAGTAAAGAGAGGAGTAAAAGGCACACCGATTTTACCCTGGTTCACCACAACTTGTGGCTAATCCAGCCTCCCGAGAGACTCTCTCGAGCTACACTACTTCCGTTAAGCTTACGGGTGCTTAACAAACCGTTACAACCTGAGAACTCGAGTCCCACGAGCCTCAACAACACTTGCTCGGAGATACCGCACTCCAAGACTTCAACCCGAAGGAAAATACCTTTCCTTCGTACAACCAAGGGAAACAAGCTTCCCTTAACGTGTATACAACACTAAGACACTCAAGAACAAGACTCTCCTTAAGAGTGGATATGAGNATGTTATGTGTAACACAAACCCAAAACACCCCATTTTATAGTAGAAAGAAAGGCTCCAACGGGCCAACACATTTAAGGGGTGATTGGCACAATTTGTGGGATTTGATTAAAATTGGATCTGCTGAAATTCACCTAGACAGCGCTGTCCTATGCTGGACATCGCTGTTCTAGGCTTGATTTTAAAAATTGGGAAGCAACGGTCATGCCAACAGCGATGTCCAAAAACCCCTACATCGCTGTTTTGGCTGTTGACTTCCAAACAAGGAAAGTTTTAGCCTTAAATTCCTTCCAACGGTCAGGTCTTTACATCGATGTTCTATACTAAAACATCGCTGTTTAGGTCTGCCTTTGGAGATGGAATTTTGGCCTGACAGTGCTGTTTCTGGGTCAACATCGCTGTCCAAAAACTTTCTGCCAATGCACTATATTTTTGGCTTAGGTTGGACAGCGCTGTAGGAAAGCCTACATCGCTGTTCCAGAAGATTCTGGAAATCCAACATTGGCTCAACAGCGATGTCTAACATCCAACATCGCTGTTGGAAGACTTGACACCAAACCATGGTTTTCAGCCACCCAAGCCAGACAGCGCTGTTGGTTTCAACAACATCGCTGTTGGGCTGGTTTAGCCAGACCCATGGTTGGTTTAGTCAGCCGTTAGCCGATGTCAAAAATGTAAGTTCTCCAAAATAAAAACCAAGTATTGAAAATGTTTGTTTAATGCATTTTGCTAAGAAATCAAGTAAAACATTTTGAAAACCACGTCATTTAGTTGAAAACCACGGCTAACCAAGTTTACGACGTTTCGCATGGTTTTCACTAAACGACCAAAAACGAAAGGTGGTTTTTGAAGCGTTTTTGTTGGAGAACTATTTAAATGTGCCCAGAAGTAAAAACCAGTCATAAAAGGTTGAAAACCACTTGGTTGGTTCGGACGCCAAAAACCAATGCCAAAAGCCGAAAGCCGAACGCCGGTTTCTGAAAGCCGAACGCCGGATGGCTTGGTTTTTGGCTTGGGCGAACTCCAAGTGTTTTGAGCCAAACTTAAGAAAAATATTTTTGAAAATGTAAAAGATATTTTTATGAATTGAGCCTAGAGAGCCAAGATTTGGAATTTTGTGCCGGTCTTGATCACATTAAGACCGACTCAATACAATTCTAGTTCTTCGTTCTTGATTCTGGGTTCTTGGTTCTCAAGTCATCATGCCATGTTCCTTCGCCTTAGTTTTGCTCACTTTAGCTTTGATATGTCGCGGCGGTTTGGCATTATCAAAACCTGTCATAAAGACGAACGCAGTTTAGTACGACGGAGGCGTAAACCCGTGTTCCAACAATTTCCCCCTTTTTGATAATGGCAAACAAGACGGGGATATGCATACTAAGGTATATGTGTTTTTCAAAAGTTGTGAAAAAAAAGTTCCCCCTTAATTTGTGCTTTTAAAAAAAATTAGGTGGATTAAAATCAAACGATCTCATTTGTAGAGACGTTCCCCCTTAGTATATGCATAGCCCTTTTCTTCTCCCTTTTGACATTAACGAAAAGATAAACGAAATGATTTTATTTAATAAAGGGAAATGACGGAGTACAACAGAAGCATAAAAAAATATAATTAAAGTAGAAGAGATAGAAATTCTAGGGGAGTCCTAGTCTTCGTCTTCGGTTTCCTCCTCATCATCGTCGACGTCCATCTCATCCCCATCGATGGCGTCGTCGAACTCGTCTTCATCCGGGGAGCTTGACGGGGCATAGGAGTCATCGGCTTCGTCTTCGTCACCGTACACTTGCCCAAAGAACGTGCCGTGGTACGGTGGGGGGACGTAGTTGATGCCTTGGAAGTACGAGTTCATCGCGTATCCTTGGCGTTGAACAGCCACGTCGAGCCGTTCAAGGTAGCCACCCATCCCGTCAACTTTGAGGTGGAGCCGGTTGAGGGAGTCGGCGATGGAGGCGAGGTTGGCCCGGGCCTGGGGTTCGGCTTGGCCAGCGGCAGTGGCAGTATGGCGTGCCTGGGCAGTGGCAGCCGTGGCGTTGTCCGACCGCTTGAGGAAGGTTTGGTTGCTGATTGTCCAAATCTTCGTGGCCTTCGTGAGCGGGCCAACGGTGGTGGTTACTTTGAACCGTTCAAGGATGTCCATCACCAAAAACGGGTACGGGAGGAGGTGGTCGTGCTCGGTGGACGCGGCAATCGTCATGTTGATCATGACAAACTTTGCCCAATTGATTGGGGCCGAATGCATGATCGCATGGATAAGCTTGAGGTCTTCACCGTGCATGATGGTGTGGCCGTGCTTCATCGGTTTGATGATTCGGGTGACGATGTAGAGAACGAGGCGGCCGTCGGGGTTGGCGGAGTGGATGGTTGGGCGGCCCGAGGCATGGCGTTTGAGCTCGGTGATGCCAAGCTCGTTGAGGATAAGGCCCTCGTTGTTGAGCACCCAATCCTCTCCACCATAGTGAGACACATCGTCGCCTTGGAAGGGGAGGCCGGCGATGCGCCCAAGCTGCTCCACGGTGAGCTCGATCGGCGTGCTCTTGACAAGCGAGTAGAGCACGTCGTCCTCACGCCGGAGGTTGGAGTAGAAGGCTTGGATCAGCGCCGGGTTGATCTCCTTTCATGCCCGGGAGACGAACGGCCAAAGGCTGGCTTGATGAAGCTGCGCGTTGAGGTCATCGTAGCCCTGCAGCTCCGGGTAGCGCTCCGGGATGATCCGTGGGGGAGCCACAACCCGTTTAGAGAAAAAGGTGAGAAATCGGGTGCGCTCCTCCTCGGAATCGAACCAGAGGTACGACCCATCGCCGTAGTAGAGGCGTTCCTCGGAGGTTGTGGACGGTGCCCGGGATTTAGACTTCGATTTCCCGGAGGTAGCAGCCCTACTCTTGTCTTTGCCCATGGTGATGAAGAAATCTCAAA